GTTGTGGGGAGCACTTCTAGAGGATACTCAGTTCTGGCAGTTGTGGGGAGCACTTCTAGAGGATACTCAGTTCTGGCAGTTGTGGGGAGCACTTCCAGAGGATACTCAGTTTCTGGTAGTTGTGGGGAGCACTTCCAGAGGATACTCACTTCTGGCAGTTATGGGGAGCACTTCCAGAGGAAACTCAGTTCTGGCAGTTGTGGGGAGCACTTCTAGAGGAAACTCAGTTCTGGCAGTTGTGGGGAGCATTTCCAGAGGATACTCAGTTCTGGCAGTTGTGGGGACCACTTCCAGAGGAAACTCAGTTCTGGCAGTTGTGGGGAGCACTTCCAGAGGAAACTCAGTTCTGGCAGTTGCAGTTATGGGGAGCACTTCCAGAGGATAGAGCCAAGAAAGAGCCGAAGGGCAGCAGAAGCTGCAAAGAGTCTAGTGTTTCCAAACCATCACGTCAGAATCCTGTGAGATGGGAAGACAAAAGGGGATCCAAAGAGGCCAATGTCTCCCACACTTCCCAGGCAGGGCAGAGGTGGGCGTCAACCCCAGGTGAGAAGTGGGTGAAGAGCCCTGTTTGAGATGTGGCTGATCCCTGTTACTAGCTTTTCCTCTGGGGACAGAACGCTCTACAAAGAGGAACTTTCCTTTCCTGCATGAGGCAGAGGCAAGCTGCCTGCCCATCCCCTTCCTCAAGGAATGGCCTAGCCCGGGAATGCCCACCACACACACTCTTCTTATTTTTCTAGTCAACCTCTGTTTACTCCTTGGCCTGCCTTCCTCCTCCCTCCCTTTCAACCTTGACTTCTGATTTCTACTTCATGGAATTTGGGATTGACGTTATACAACAGTGCCGCCAACACCAAGTCTTGCAGGAAAAAAAAAATACAAAGAAATTTAACAAAAAAAAAAAAGTATATTAATAAAAAAGTTCCAAAAAGGGGGGGACTGTCATCTCCTTTGGGGTGCGATGATTTCAAATTCAAGCTCTCTGAGTGTCACCTGGTGGGGTGGGTGAGAAAGGAGGCCCCTTGGGGAGCCACAGTGCTGTAACCACTCTAGGCTCCTTTCCCAAAGTGCCAAAGACTGAGGCCAGAGGTCAGAAATCTCAAGACGTCTCAGCGGGGCGGCCCTAGAGGGGCGGGGTCCCGTGGTAGAGGCGGGGAAGAGGGAAGGACCCGGACCAAGCACCAACCCCAGCTCTGTCCCATACCAGGAAGTGCTGGGTGGGTGGAGGGGGCAGAGAAGCAGAGTTGACAGCGAAGCCAGGTGAGGTTGGGATCGGGAAACTCATGCCTCCTGAAATGGGAAGGGGAGCAGGAAATCACGCAAAGGAAACAGCGCAGGGATCCAAAAGGAAAACTAGAGATAAGAAATCAGTCCGGGAAGGAAAGCGAGAAATAAACTGGGCTTCAGCGCAGGCTCACTAGAAACTGGCACGGGGTGGGGCGAGGACGCATGCGTAGTGGGGATGTCCTTGCGGGGCGGGATGGTGGCTTTCGGATTCAGGTGGGAGGTATTATGTGGGCACAGTTTTAGGGTGGTGGTGGGACTCGAGCCCTTAAAGAACTTGGCGCAGGGCAATTCTGGCTGCCCGGCTGGCATGTGTTAAAGCCTTTCCACTCCCGGGCTCTGCCCCCAGGATGGTGGTGCCTTCGTTGAGACTTCAGGACTTAATCGAAGAGATACGCGGGGCCAAGACTCTGGCCCAGGAACGGGAAGTGATCCAGAAGGAGTGCGCTCAAATTCGGGCCTCCTTCCGCGATGGGGACCCCCTGCAGAGGCACCGCCAGCTGGCGAAACTGCTATACGTCCACATGTTGGGCTACCCCGCCCACTTTGGACAGGTACTGGCCAGGGATAGCTCCAAAATTTGAGGAAGATGACCAGTGGGGGCCCCCTTGCGTATTTGTACCCCATTTGTGTTTCTCCAGTTTGTTTTTTTTTTTTGTTTTGTTTTGTTTGAGACAGGTTCTCTATGTAGCCCAGGCTGGCCTGGAACTGGCAAAAATCCCTGCCTTAGTTTCAGTGTTGGGGTTTTCAGGCACGCCCCACTCCGCCCGGCTAAATCCATTAGTTTCTCAGCCTTTTTATCTATTACCGTACTGGTGATTCCTTAGCCAGCCCCGTTCTTGGCACCTCCCCAGCCTCTCCCAGCCTCCCTTCCTACACAGGTCCCTGAAACCTGCCTGCCGCCATCTGGATCTCCACTTAAACTTCTGGTTAAAGAGACGGTGATGAAATATGATTCCTCACAAGTTAATCTGGCTTGAAGGAAAAATTAGTGCTGTGGTTTCACACTACCCTTCCTGGTCTGCCTCCTTCCCTGTAGATGGAGTGCCTGAAACTGATCGCCTCCCCCAGATTCACAGACAAGAGGGTGGGCTACCTTGGGGCCATGCTTCTATTGGATGAGAGGCACGATGCCCATCTGCTCATTACCAACAGCATCAAGAAGTGAGAGGGTTCTGGGGCACTTGAAATCAGGGCGTTGGGAGAGGTGGGAAATGCAAAAATCCCAGAGGGCTGCCTGCTATCAGTACTGGGAAGAACCGGTTTCCTTCAGCTTGACCGACCATCCTTCCAAACCCTACAGTGACCTGAGCCAAGGGATTCAGCCAGTTCAGGGTCTGGCCCTGTGTACTCTGAGCACCATGGGCTCTGCTGAGATGTGCCGAGACCTAGCCACTGAGGTGGAGAAGCTGCTCCTGCAGCCCAGCCCCTATGTGCGTAAGAAGGTGAGACGTAGACCTTGAGACACTGGCCTCTCCGGAAGCTGTTCCCAAGCAGCCACATGCAAGAGGTAGAGGTGTGGAGTCTAACTTGGTGGCCCTCTCTGAGGCCCTTGACTTCTGCAGGCTGTTTTGACCGCTGTGCATATGATTCGGAAGGATCCTGAGCTCTCCAGCATCTTCCTCCCACCTTGTGCCAAACTGCTCCATGAGCGCCACCATGGTAAGGAGGGCACAGGGCTCGCCACCGTCCGCTTCAGGTCTGGCTAGGAATAGCTGAAGTGGAAAGCAGACCAGGCAATCCCGCTCTCGCTGGACAAGGGTGGTGCACACATACAAACACACGCGTAGTAGACTGCCCCAGGGCCTGGCCCGCCATTCACTGCCCCACCCTGACCCCAGGCATCCTGCTGGGCACCATCACGCTGATCACCGAGCTCTGTGAAAGAAACCCTGCAGCCCTCAGGCACTTTCGCAAGGTGGGCTAGTGAAGGGCAGGCCGCGGGGCAGGCAAAGGCGGGCGGTGGGTGAAGAATTGGGACCGATGGTCGAGAAGAGGGGAGGAATGCCCAGACAAGGCTGCCTGTGCCCTTCTTCTCCCCAGGTCGTACCCCAACTGGTCCAGATCCTCCGGACTCTGGTGACGGCGGGATACTCAACAGAGCACAGCATCTCTGGAGTCAGCGATCCCTTCTTGCAGGTAGGCTGAGAGTTACTTGGAGCCCCAGAACGGAGAGGACTTCACAGGACGACCGTAGCCAGTAGTCACGTCCCATTTTGGCACAGTCCAAGTGATAGACTCAGGACGGCTTTAGTCATCCTGGGACTGGGGATGGGGCTGGAAGGAGGCTGCCAGAGAGTCAGAAAATCCAGTTTGGTAACCATATAAAAAGCCTGTTCCAAAGCCGGGTGTGGTGGCACATGCCTTTAGTCCCAGTACTTGGGAGGCAGAGGCAGGTGGATCTATGAGAGTTCAAGGCCAGCCTAGTCTACAAAGCAAGTTCCAGCTAGGGCTACACAAAGAAACCATGTCTCAAAAAAAAAAAAAAAATCATAAAAGGACTCTCCAGACTCCCCTGACTCTACCCAAGTCTGATCTCCTCCCAGGGCCCAAGGACTCTGTGGAGGTGAGAGGGAGGGAGGGGTTGCCCACAGTGTTAGGTCTTTCCACCTCAGGCTCATGACATTATCCTATAAACCCCTCTAATCCAATCTCAGGTCCAGATACTTCGTCTGCTTCGGATCCTGGGACGGAACCATGAAGAAAGCAGTGAGGCCATGAATGACTTGCTGGCCCAGGTGAGAGGCACCCCTTAGGCATGTGGTTTCTTAGGGTTCATCAGTCCTGGACATTCCTCACATGACCACTTATCATGCAGAGGTCATATAATTGCCTTTCTGTGCCCCATAAACCAATAAATTCCATGCAGGAAGGATACAGTCTGTCGCTGTGCTATTGCCCTAGTGGGTAGGCAGGTCCTAACATATAGTGGGGTTCATGGAACTTTGTTAGGGGCTGAAGGATGAACAGAGAACACAGCAGTCACCTTCCAGAAGTCACAGGGAGACTGGAGCCCTGTGCAGATGCCTCTCTCCCGCCATCCACACAGGTCGCCACCAACACAGACACGAGCCGAAATGCGGGCAACGCCGTTCTGTTGGAGACAGTGCTTACCATCATGGACATCCACTCTGTAGCGGGCCTCCGGGTACCATTATATACCCATGTGCTCTCCAGCCACCATTCCACCTCCCCAGCTGGTCCTGGTCACTGGCTCTTCCCCAACACCCATCATGGAGGGGATCCCACTGCATAAGTGGCTTCTTCTCTGACCGCCGCCCCCTTCTTCTTCCAATAGGTTCTAGCTGTTAACATTCTTGGACGTTTCTTGCTCAACCATGACAAGAATATTAGGTAACAACCCCCAGTGTCTGGCTAGATGGTACCACTGTACATCTGGCCCTCTGCATTCCTCCGTCTTGATCCATCTAACTCTCACCTATCCTGGAGGCAACACAGGGTGTCCGGGCAGATGTGACATGGCCTTTCTTACTCCGACCAGGTATGTGGCCCTGACATCGTTGCTCCGCCTGGTGCAGTCCGACCACAGTGCTGTACAGCGTCACCGGTCCACTGTGGTCGAATGTCTACAGGAAACAGATGCCTCCCTTAGCAGGTAAGCGGAGGGAGAACAGGGCAGAGGACAGTGCCTGGTGGCTGAAACGCAAACCAGCGTAGTTCAAAGCAGCTGGAGTAAGAGCTAAAGAAAAAGATGCCTGGGAACAATGGACCTAGAGCGGGGTGACCTGGGCCATCTGCATGGACACCTGTCTCCTGCCAGGCGGGCCCTGGAGCTGAGCCTGGCTCTGGTGAACAGTTCCAACGTGCGAGCCATGATGCAGGAGTTGCAGGCCTTCCTGGAATCCTGCCCCCCTGATCTTCGGGCTGACTGTGCTTCAGGCATCCTTCTGGCTGCGGAGAGGTGAGGTGACGACGAGTACCTGGGCGTCAGAGGGTGCGGCCTGGGGAGGGAGGGTGACAGGGCTGATGAGTCACGTCCCCTAGGTTCGCTCCAAGCAAGCGGTGGCACATAGACACCATCCTGCACGTGCTGACCACGGTGAGGTGGGGTGGTCAGGGAGTCGGGCGGGAGTGGGCAGAGCTCACTGCTCTGACCTGGCCACATCCTCCCCTCTCCAGGCAGGCACCCATGTGAGGGACGACGCAGTGGCCAACCTGACCCAGCTGATTGGAGAGGCCCAGGAGCTTCATGCCTACTCCGTGCGCCGCCTCTACAGTGCCTTGGCAGAGGACATCTCCCAGGTCTCGCTCCCCTCTCCCCAGCTCCAGCCGACCAGCCTTTTCAGCACTAGAATTTGAATGCTTTTCCCCAAGCACAGCGGCCGGAAGACGGTCGAGGACAAAGCCCACCTTTCACGTAGGCTTCTGTCCTGGCCCTGATGCCTATTGGCTGCCACTTCCTTTAGGCTCTGCATTCTCAACTTTCTAGAATGCCTACCTCCCAGGCTGTCTTCGGGATCAAATGAGATATATTAAAGCTTGGCACATGTATTCATTTCTCTTATTGCCTCCGATGCCGGGCGGATTAACAGGTGCCAGCCGATATCTGTAAACCCCCCTCTGTCAGCTTGAATAGAGTGGGCAGAAAGCATCCCGGTTTGCTCCTGAGAGCGAGCCTGTCAGGGCTCTGTCATGTGACCAGGCCCTGTAGTTTGGATGCTTGCCCACCAGAGGGCAGTAGGACCCAAAAATGCCAGGACAGCTTGCTAACAAACTTGACCTTTCCCTCCCTCCCCTGCCGACCCCACCATCTTTTCTTCACTGTCGTAAAGGGATGCGGTGGGGTCTAGGAGAAAGGAGACCCCCAACTAACTCAGCAGTGTCCCCTCGCTCCTACAGCAACCACTGGCGCAGGTGGCAGCCTGGTGCATTGGCGAGTATGGGGACCTCCTGCTGGAGGGTAACTGCGAGGACACCGAGCCTTTCCAGGTGAGACCTGAGCAGCGAGAGGTTCACTGGGGAGGTTTGTGAGGACAGACCTGACCTGCGGTCCTGACCTGTTGTCCACACCTGAAGGTGGAGGAAGAGGAGGTGCTAGCGCTCCTGGAGAAAGTCCTGCAGTCCCACATGTCCCTGCCAGCCACCCGAGGCTACGCTATCACAGCGCTCATGAAGCTCAGCACCCGGCTCCGGGGAGACAACAAGTAAGAAGGGGTTCCCAGCCCTCGAAAGATGCCCCTTCGTTGTGGCTACTAGTCTTTGAACTCTCCAGGCGCACACCCCTCCTCCCCCTCCCCCCAGTCCTTAGGAATCTGCTTTTGAGCCCCATATATTAGATGTCTCCTTACTCTCTGAGGCTACTCCCTTCCCTCCCATCCTGGAGGGGAAGAGCAAGCCGCCTGCCTTTGCCCCTCACATGCCACGCTGTGGCCCAGTCGTATCCGCCAGGTGGTATCCATCTACGGGAGCTGTGTGGATGTGGAGCTTCAGCAGCGGGCTGTGGAGTATAACGCACTCTTCCAGAAGTACGACCACATGAGGTATGTCCAGAAACCCACATGTAGAACTCCGAACTCGACCCTCTCCCAGGGCTCCCTCCTGGATACGAGGGCGGAAGCTTGCTCTGCGGTGAGCGTCTCCCACCCATAGTTGACACTGAGCTGGTTCCCAGCCTCATCGGTTGTCTAAGGACCAGCAATGGTGCACTGTCTTAGGAAACCAGAATCGGGGCTGGAGAGATGGCTCAGAGGTTAAGAGCACTGGCAGCTCTTCCAGAGGTCCTGGAACCACATGGTGGCTCACAACCATTTATAGTGAGATCTGGTGCCCTCTTCTGGCGTGCAGACACACATGCAGGCAGAACACTGTATACATAATAAATAAATTTAAAAAAAAAAAAAGGAAACCAGAATGGTGCATGCAACCCTGCATGGGACCATGCATGCAACCCTGCATGCCCAGGGCCTTCTATGTTCTTAGTCTTCTTCCCAAATGCTTCTGTGAGAGCACAGGGCTCACACAGAGGGACCCTTGCATTCCATCCTCTCAGGGCTGCCATCCTTGAAAAGATGCCTCTTGTGGAGCGCAGTGACCCTCAAGTTGATGAGGGACAGAAGGAAACCAAAGCGGGGCCCCAGCTCTTGGAAGCAGCAGCGCCTGCCCCCACGGAGCCCCAGGTGAGGAGGCTGGAAGACCTGGGTAAGGAGGACTCCTGTGGGTGCACATGCCTGTCATGACCCTCCTGCCCTTTTCCCCAGGCCACTAAGCTCTTGGATCTGCTTGATCTCCTGGATGACACTTCTGGGCATGCTCAGCATCTTCCACCAATGGAGCCTTCCCCAGGGGAGGCCTTAGTACAGCTCCTCGACCTTCCCTGTGTACCTCCACCCCCTGGTAAGCCTCTGCAAAGGGAGGTACTTGACAGAAGGGGGCTGGCAATGTGTCATTTCTCATTCTGAGCCAAGGATGGAGACACCCATCTCAGTAGGCAAAGGTTTCGTTCCTTCCATGCCGGTTCCATCTTGGTTCTCTGTACCGATCCCCCCCCCTGTTTCTTATCCCAGTCTACGCTCCTGTTTCCGCTTCAGGCTGTGTCAAATCACTTCCGACTACCCACTCCACTGGCCCCTTCCACTCCCCGCCTTCTTCCGCCTTAAACACTTGACATTTCATGTTCTCTACCCAACACCTCAAATGACTAGCTCATACGCACTGTTCAGGCTTCAGCTAAATGTCAGCTGTCTTACCCTCCCTCTCCTCTTTAACTTAGTCCTTCCCGGCTACTTTTGACTTTTTGTTCCTAACATCATGGCGATGATCATCTCGCATTTTGCTGTTTCTCTCCTCCCCGCCCCCCTAGATGGTCGGCTCCCACCTCAGCTTTAGTTTCTCTTTAGATCTGGTCGCCAATGCAGGGCCAAGATTCGCTTGTCCCGTTTTTATTGGATGAGTGGGTGCATGTGGCTTGCTAACCTGTGCACCGGGCTGCCTCTCTCCCATCCAGCTCCCATCCCCAGTCTCAGAGTGTTCGAGCGTGAGGGTGTACAGCTGGACCTTTCTTTCATGCGGCCCGTGGAAACCCCGACATTGCTCCTAGTCACTGCCACCACCACCAACTCCTCAAGGGAGGATGTTACCCACTTCGTTTGCCAGGCAGCTGTGCCCAAGGTTTGAAAAAAATGGGGTTCGGCCAGGTGCGGTAGCCCATAATTCTAGAACTTGGGAAGCTAAGGACGGGGGAAATCACTGAGGCCACCCTGGACTGCATAGGGAGTTTGAGGCCAAGGTGGGCTAGATTGTCACAAAGAAAGAAGAAAAAATTGGGGTTCAGAGGTGGCATAGGCACTCTAGGAGAAAAGGCCAGAAAGTAGTGGAAGTGGGTGGGAGGCAGAGTGAAACGGGAAAGGGGTCATGGAGACAGTTATTGGGGTGTTATCCAAAAATGTGTGGGAGCCACTGGGTGCAGAGGGCCGCCTGAGCCCGACCAGAGGCCTCACTACGCTCTGCCCAAACCCCCATGTGCAGAGTTTCCAGCTGCAATTACAGGCCCCCAGTGGGGACACAGTTCCAGCTCGGGGTGGCCTTCCCGTCACCCAGCTCTTCAGAATCCTCAATCCTAACAAGGTGAGTGGTCAGACCCTGTGGGACAGGAGAGGTGGGGGCAGTCAGGGACCTGACCCTGGTCTCCGCTTCCCTACTTTTAGGCAACTCTGAGACTAAAGCTACGCCTCACCTACAACCACTTTGGCCAGCCAGTACAGGAGACCTTCGAGGTGGACAACTTGCCCGTGGAGACCTGGCAGTAACTTGCTGTGGTTTGTGTCTGGCCGGGGTGTTTCCAGGCTCTTGGTGTCTTATTCAAGGAATGGAAATAAAGGTGTACATAAATTGCGAGTCGCAAGGCAACTTTATTCAAAAGCGAAGTGGTAGTACAAATCAGAATACACTGTGAAGAGCAGCGGCCACAGGACTCACGTCACTGCCTGGTGCTGCTATGATTTCCTGGCCTTACGGGAAGGAGGAGGTCATTGCCAAGTGGCATGATTTGAATGGTTCTCTATTTTGATTGACAGGCTTGGATTCTGTAAGCCTTTCTTCACTGTGCATGACCCCTCCCATGATGCATCTGATTTTTACTCATATGCTCATTCTACATAGGCACAGGATGGTAAACAGAAGATTTGCCTTAAAAGTTCACCCAAAGGACATGGTCTACCTTACCCTGCTTGTACCCAAAACCCGTCTTGATCCAATCAGCCTCCTATTTTCCATACTCGGGTATGTTCTAAAATGTTTGAATAAAAACTGTCCACCGAAGGGGAGAGTTTCTATGCCTGCTGGGGGAGGAGAGGCTTATTCCATTGTCTGAAGTGGGACATAAATGTAACTGAGTGCAGGTGGGGGGCCTAGGTGCGTTGTTGGAAGGATGTGTGCACACAGCACATACAGGTGAGGCTCCGAGGATGCCAAGTGCGTTGTCAGACGAGAGGCGTGTACAGCTCAAACCAAGCGGAGTTCCAGGTTGCTAAGCTGGGGCCTAAACTAGCCTGCCTCCTAACTGCCACGGCTCACCTGAAATCTTTCTGCACCCTCAGCTGGGAACACAGCCCTGAGGGCTGACAGCAGGTGGCACTCTGGCCCTGAATTTGTCACCACAATCTGAAGAGACTGCCTCCTGCCCGACAAATAATGAAAGCCTATGAAACCTGAGGTGGGCAGAAAGGCATATTTCGACCTAGTGAGAAAGAAAATGCGTAGAAACAAGGGTAGAGCCTTCTCCACAGAAGGATAACTTCCTGAAACCCCAGGAACATGTCTCAACAGTGACGATTTTCTTTCTACCCCTCTCGGGGCTGGAGAGCAAAACTTATCTCTAAACTGCCACACAGGGCAGGCCACCCTCTGGTCACAGTGACAGACCCAGCAGAATTTCCAGATTTCCAACACAAGTTCCCAACCATTTCCCCACCTTGTTGCTATTCCCTACACCCCGAGGCAGGGAAATCCCTGCCGCTTCCCCGCATCTCTAACTCAGCTGTAAGGCGGCTTCAGAGCTGCTGGCAGAATCAATGGCATCGACCACGGGAGGGGGGGGTGGCAAGGGATTTTCCTGTGCTTAACTACTGATCACGGCTAAGTGGAAATCCTATAAACACGAGCGGAAATCAATGGAGGCTGCTTAGCGGCCAGGGGAGAGGGGCGGCCCACAGATTGCATCTGACGGATGAGGGAAGCGGTGAGGGAGGGCTCGAGGCAGGGGAGCTGAGAAGGGGGGCAAAGACCAGGCAGGACTGGAGACAAAAGCGGCCCTGTGGTGAGGGCAGGGGCACAGTGGGTCCGGGTGTGGATGGCGGCTGCCGAGAGTCCCCTTCCCTCCTAGAAAGTGAACCCTGCTCCCGTCAGCTGCTGTCAGGACGCTGAGTCCCCTGTGGCTTCCTCGGAACTGTTCGCTTCCAGCAGGCGCTGATAGTCCAGAGGCCTGAAGAGCTGTAGGTACACCATGAGCTTGGCGGGTGCCTTCTCCTGGGCTGGCACTCCTGCAGGTGAGGACGAGGAGGAAAGAAACAGATGCAGCCATTAAACACGCTCACTTTGCTCCCTGCCCACCCAGCCAGGACTCCAAAGCTGCCAACGCAGTGCCAAGAATGCAGATGCCACCCAAGCAGCTGCTCTAAGCCACCCACTCCCTTGTTGGACTGCAGAGGTGAGACCCCAAAAATCTCCTCAGTTGGGGAGTAGCCCTGCGTGAGCCTCTCCTCCGGCAGTGAGGAGCGGTGAGGAAGCACCCCGTGCCGTGGAGACAGGGAACCAACTCCTTTCACGTCTCACTCTCTCTCCCAATCGAGAGTCAAGCCCATCTAGGCAAGCCAAAGCTCATTAGCTTGGCAATGACCCACGTGCAGTGGAGTACAGAAGAAAACCAAACGCTGTGGGAAATAAAGGGGAGCAGGGACTGTGGACTGGCGGTCACAGGGCTGGTTTCTAACTATTGCTGGTGCTGTTAATGGACACTGGCGTGCTGACCCATGGCAGGAAACTCCCTGGGTGGTTTCTAGGGAGGGTCAGCCCTCTAGGTCTCTCAGGACCTGTAGGGTGCACAAACCCTGAAGCGTGGGGATGAGCTGTCTCTATCAGAGCCAGGCATGGAAAAAGAAAAATCTGCCAAAGGACCCCCTTGCCCCATACAAATGCAATGTTCCTGTCTTTCCTCCAAGCTAAAAGCACTGTCCAGAGGGTGTGGTTCCCTACACCTGGAATCCCAGCACTGGGGTGGATCACGAGTTTAAGGTCTTACCTGGGCTACATAGAAGACTGAGAAAAAGCCAAGGGAATAATGAGGATGTAGGAAGTTGAAAGAGAAAAATGGAAGTGTATGGGAAGGATCAAAACAGAGAGAGACCTGATAAGCAGAACTGGGGGATTAAATGAGGTGACAGCTAGGAGAATGAATGGAGACAAGGAGTAAATCCAAATTAGCTCCTATAGAATAGCAAATGATTTACAGACGTGTACACAAACTGGAGCTTTGAGAAAGTCGCCTCCAGTGAGGCTGGATGAGAAGCAGGGACAGCATCCAAGAGCTTGCCTCCCTCACCAAGCATGCTGCCGAGCACAGAAGGGCCTGTCGTCTCCCTCACCAAGCTTGCTGCTGAAGCTCAAGATCTTCTCTAGGGCAGCTCCTACTTCAGCCTTCTCACGAACCATGGCCTCCACCTCACCCACAGCATAGCCGAAGTCTGTCGAATCCAGATCCACTCTGAGCAGTGGCTCCTCCTGTCCATGGGCTCCAGATAAGGCCAGCTTCCAGGAACTTCGTGTAGTTATAAAACTAGCTACTTCCTGCAGCTTCAGGGGACCCAAGACGGCAGGCACACCTGCAGCCTCCAGCTCCCCAGCCCCCAGCAGTTCAAAGAGCTGGGCCACAATCGCCGATTCCGATGTGAGTTCCACATACTCATTGTGGGGTCCTGAGATACCCGCTCCTCCAGGGCATTTGAGCTCCCATCCACTACCTTCTCGCTGTCGCAGCCAGTGGTCAGACCGCATAAGGCTTAGCTCAGAAGTATCATAGTAGGTGTCCCGGAAGGTGACCCGGTGCTCCAGGATGCCCCCCAACTCCTGCAGCCTTTCCTCCGTGTCAGGCCCTGGGACAAACTTTCGCTCCACTTCAATCAAGCCCTGGGCCATGTTACCTGCAACAGAGTTTGCAAAGAATTCACTGCGTGCTCAAGGGTACAAGCGGTCAGCAGAGACCCCCCTAGTCCTGGATGAACTTATGAGGCACAAACACTGTCTCAGAGCTCTGCCTCAGTGACACAAGGTTCTACTTCGAGATTTCAGCGTCCTGCAATGGCGACAGTCTCCAGTTAAATCCTAGTATTGATCATGTCTTCAACCCCAAAGGCTCCTTTGAAAGCCGGCCGTGATGCTGATGACCTTTCAGCATCTTTTCTCTACACCTTGCCACCCAGGCCAGAGGTTCACCGCCCGGAATGTCCTGTCATTCTTCGCACAGCACGGACCAGCTGCACCTCAGAACTCTCTTCAAGACCCCAGGGTCTCCCTCTCCGGGGACCCGGAAATGGGGGAAGGGAACCCACGCTACACCCGCGAGGAATGCCGGGAGCAGTCTCCGGCTCCGGACCTTGGCCCTGGCTCTTGACGCGCGGGTCCGGTCCTAGCACCAGCGGCCATATTAGACCGGTATGGCGGGTGCCGAGGGCAAGCTAGGCCCGAGAGGTCTGCTAGGTTACGTGCGACCCAACCCGGTAGGCAAGAGGAGCGAGACCACCCTCTCGCCCGCTGCTCATCCTGGATCCTTCCTGGAGCCCGGGCATCGGCCAAGATCTCGAGCCTTAGCGTGAGCCTGGCACCCTGGGCCTGATGCATGCTGGGAGATGTAGTTCCAAAGGGCCACCTCACCTTTCCATGCCCACCCGTCGCAATGGTGATCAGAAACATGCAATTAGTTGTTGCCAGCGGGACAGGCGGGGGTTGGGGGTGGCGAAGGTGAAGAGTAGAATGCAAGGAGCTTAGGCTCCAGCCCCCAACCCCTCCCAACGTCAACTGTGGGTGGGCCTGATGAGACACGGCCACTCAGATACTGCAGTCTATGGCTGCCCACTAAGGGCTGGCCAGTGGTAATGGCCTGGCGCATGAGTGGAGTAATTCAGTTTAGCCACTTGGAATGTTTTTATGGTTTTATTAATTAATTAATTAATTAATTTTTGACACAAGGATCTCATGTAACCCAAACTAGCCTGGAACTCCCGATCCCCTTAAAGTGAGTGCTGGGTTACATGTGTGAGCCACCACCATACCCTGCCTCTATCCTGGAATTTTAGAGGGAATCCAATACAAACTGGTACGAGTGTTTAGGACAGAGGTGAGTGGGAAACTTTCCATCAGGGGAGGAAGTGATATTTTGAATGTGAATGAGAGATGTAATGGGGGAGCTGGAGCCATGGTTCAGCACTGAAGTACACTTGCTGTTCTTAGTAGAGGACTGAGATTACCTTCCCAGCACTTACATGGCAGATCACAACCTAACTCAGTTACGGGGGAATCTGACGCCCTCTTCTGGACGCCTCGGGTACTACAAACAAAATACTGAAATTTTTTTAAAAAATTAATTCGAGGAGAGGGAAGAGAAGGGGGAGGAGGAGAAGGAGGAGGGGGGGAAGAAGAGGGGGAGGAGGAGGGGGAGGAGGAGGAG